TCTTTCTTTCTTTCTTTCTTTCTTTCTTTCTTTCTTTCTTTCTTTCTGAGAAGCCTCACGTAGCCAAGGCTGGCTTTGAACTCCAGAACCTCTAGCCTCCCAAATACTAGGATCACTTTCTATTTTGAAACAGTTTCACCAAGTTGCTCAAGCAGAGTACCTTGAACTTGGTATTCTCCTGCCTCAGCATCTCATACAGCTGAGATAACAAGCCTATGGCACAGGACTGGTTATAGCCTGTCTTTTGGTTCCTAGTTGGAGGGCAGGTGGTCTGACCCCTTTGTGCTTTGAAGCCATTAAGGCCTGAGATACATGCGCCTCCCCACCTCCCCCTTTATCCTGAGAGAGAGAGAGAGAGAGAGAGAGAGAGAGAGAGAGAGAGAGAGAGAGAGAGAGAGAGTGTGTGTGTGTGTGTGTGTGTGTGTGTGTCTGGGCTGCTGTGAGGAACCTCTGGTTGAAATGAACAGGTGGTGACTACTGCTGCTTCTGGAGCGCAGGCTACCCCTCCTACAGGGTGGGTTTGTGAGATGTCACCAGTGCTTGTCTAACACCTCTCAACCTGATCTTTGTTAAATTGGGTCAGGCCTAAGATGGTGGGTGATGTCCCTTTATTCAGTGAGGGGCTGGTCATGGTGGATGCCTGGAGAGAGAGAAGGGTCAGGGGATTACTATCGGGGACACTATGTTTGGGAGGGTTGGAATAGCATCCTGTGAAACAGCTTGTTTGGCCAAGGAGTGGCTACCTGACAGTAGGCATCTCTGTCCTCCTAGCTTCTGGCCTGAACATCCATCCCCCTTGGCTTGGGGACTACACTGCTGAGTCATAGGTAGGCCCAAGCCTGGGAGGCACCTAGGCTCGGATACTTACCAGTCCTTTTCCCAACGAGCTGAGGCTGAGGTTGGTTTCTTGGGATCACCCATGTATTCGGAGGGAAAGAAAAGAGTAAGCAATGGGGGCCACCTCGGCCCCATACCTGTCAGGGGGGTCCTATCAAAGGGGCTCGAGCGGCCGCCCAGACAGCAGGGAGGGGCGGAGCCTCTCTAGCTCCGCCCCCATGAGGCGGGGCCCCCCCGTTTTCTATAAAAGCTGGGCTCTCGCCGCCGCCACTGCCCAGCTGTTTCGTCCGTACCTAATCCACCGTTATGGCGTCGTTCACGGTGAAGGCCTATCTTCTGGGCAAGGAGGAGGCGACCCGCGAGATCCGCCGCTTCAGCTTCTGCTTCAGCCCGGAGCCGGAGGCAGAAGCCGCGGCAGGCCCGGGGCCCTGCGAGAGGCTGCTGAGCCGAGTGGCTGTGCTGTTCCCCACGCTGCGGCCTGGTGGCTTCCAGGCGCATTACCGCGGTGAGGGCCTGGGGCGGGGAAGCCAACCTCCCCCGCCACGGAGTAGCAGGTCTGGGCGAGGGCGCGGCGGCGCGTCCTCTGGCTCCCCGTAGGGACAGGGTGGTCAGGCGGCCGCTCAGGTTTCAGCTAACATCCAGCGGTTCGCTTGCTCCCCGTAACGCCAGGTGGTGGGTTCAGTTAAAGCCCCGGAAGAGCTGGGACCAGGCAGACGTGGAGGAGGGGTAGAGAGGAGTGACGCGGGTAAATAAGCTTCGGGGGGCGGGGTGGGGCAGCCCGTGGGAAAGGAGGTAGGGGACCCCGGAACTAGCTCAGTCTCTTGCGTTGGAGTGGCTGGTGACTGCATGGGGTGGAGCTAGAGGTTGTTGACAAGAAACAAGCGGCCAAGGCCCTCCCTCTGGGAGGGGACGGTATTGAGATCTCTTTATGGAGGACTGTGGGTAGGCCAGGTTGGTTGGTCAGCCTCTCTCTTTTCTGAGATAAAGCCACGTAGCCTGATTGTCCTTGAATTCACGAGTAGGCTGGCCTCACTTCAATCTTCTTGTTTCAGTTTTCCAGTGCAGGAATCACAGGGATTACTCCTAGACAGAAATTTTTCAGTGTAATTGCGTTATAATCTAGGTCCTGTGCAATTCACCCCGTAAAGGTGTATGACGATTATTCTTTTGTATTAGCAGAGACAGGTCTTACTGTGTGGCCTGGATGGCCTGTATCTCCAAATTGTCCTTCTGAGTCATCTTCTTTGTGCTAGGGATCTAATCCGGGGCCTCATGTGTGTTAGGCCCTCATGTAACTAACTGAGCCACCTCCCCAGCTCCTTGCAGTTTTTAGAATCTCTTTATTGTTTTATAAATTATATATATATATATATATGTGTTTTTTTTCCTGTTTGTCACCCTGTATCCTTTCCAGTCCCAGGCAATGTATTCATTTTACTATTAGGAATTAGAACACTTTATATAAATGCAGCCTTACAATGGCTTGGCCTTTTTTTTGTTGTTGTTGTTGTTGTTGTTGGTTGGCTGGTTTTTCAAGACAGGGTTTTTCTGTGTAGCCCTGGCTGTTGCTCTGTAGACCAGACTGGCACAGTGAAGTTTTGTTCATTCATTTATTAATACGTCCAAGGCCCATTTTACTGTAGCTCTCACCAGTACATTTCCCCCCTCCACTACTGGAGATTGAACCCAGGGCTTTGCATATGCTAGGCAAGGACTCCACTTATGTGCTGTATGACTGGGTGGTACTTCATTTCTTGTTGTATATGAAGAATAGTCTGTTTGGATATGTCTTTTTTAATTTATCTGGTCTTTAGTTGGTGGACATTGGGCTGTTGGTATCTTTGAGGCCATCTCTCTTACGGTAGCTTTTGCTAAGTGGTTACCCAGAGGCTTAGCCTAGCCTGCAGATGTGTGGTTTGGCCTGTATGAAGTGGATGAAGACTATTTGTACTGACATATAAACATATGGCTGTGATCCCAGTACCTGTGTGCTAACATAAAAATGAAGCCAGATGGGTTTGAGAAATGGCTCAATGATTAAAGCCTTGGCTGCTCTTCCAGAGGACCCAAGCTCTGTTCCTAGCACTCATCACAGCGGCAGCTCCTTCGGGACTCAACATGCATACACATAAATGTGTGTGTGTGTGTGTGTGTGTGTGTGTAAATATTAAAAAAAAAATCACCTAGAAGCCTGGTTGTATCTGTTTGTAATCCCAGCACTAAGGAGGCTCACCTCTCCACAAGCTGTAGGCTGTCCTGCTCTAAGTAGTGTCAGGCCAGGTAGGGCTGCATACTAAGTCCTGCCCCTAAAAGCAGACAACATAGAATTGACCAAAACAGAACAATCAAAACCACCTCATCCTCAGAGTAACGTAGATGGTGTCTGACTGCACAGTGGTTTCTAGCCTTGTAGTTGAAGGGAGGGACAGCTGGGACCATCTCCTTCCCTTCTGAAGCCTGAGGCCTTTGAAGGGTTGGGCTGTCAGGACTAGGGTACTGGCTGGGATCTCCCAGGTGATGGCCCTAGGCCTGGTTAGGCATGGCCTGAGGGTACAGGTGGCCCAGTGGTGGTGGCAGGAGGCTAGATCCTTACACACACACACACACACACACACACACACACACACACACACGTTCTGCCTTCTGCATGTAACTGATCTAGGACCTATGTTGGAGCACGTATTCATCCCATATCAGAATGAATGGCTATCTTGCTCCTTGCCCCAGCACCCAGGTCGAGTCTAGAGCCTTTGCAGATGTCCCTTTACCACTAGGCTCTGCACATTACAGCAGTGAGCACCCAGGAGATGCTGGGTGCCTCTACTGCCTTTTTGGCTTCTAGTTCTGGGAATGGAATCTAAGCCTTTCACATGGTCCACCACTGAGCTGTGTCTGGCTCTGATATGTTATTTCTTAAACAATCTAGATGAGGATGGGGACTTGGTTGCCTTTTCCAGTGATGAGGAGCTGACAATGGCTATGTCCTATGTGAAAGATGACATCTTCCGCATCTACATTAAAGGTAAAGACTGAATCCAGGTACTTCCTATGGGGTTTTCCTTTAAAGGTCAGGAGTCTGAGTTGTCTAGGATACAGATGAGTTCTGATGCCTTGGGGTGGGTGTAGGGGGGCTGGGATTTGTCAGAAGTTCAGAAGTCCTACTGTGTGGGCCATCAGTGTTTAACAGAGCAGGGCCTGGTACCTCCTGGTTGTCCTTAGCAACTAAATTCTGAATGGATTCTTTGACTCTCCCTGCAGAGAAGAAGGAGTGCCGGCGGGAACATCGCCCACCATGTGCTCAGGAGGCATCCCGAAACATGGTGCACCCCAATGTGATTTGTGATGGTTGCAACGGGCCTGTGGTGGGAACTCGCTATAAGTGCAGCGTGTGCCCAGACTATGACCTGTGCAGCGTCTGCGAGGGGAAGGGCCTGCACAGGGAGCACAGCAAGCTCATCTTTCCCAACCCCTTTGGCCACCTCTCTGATGTGAGCTGGTTCTCTGCAGTCCTGGGGGTGGGATATACAGGGTGGTGGGAGCTCAAAACCCTGACGCCTCACTGCCCTGTCTTGCTTTCTCCTACCCAGAGCTTCTCTCATAGCCGCTGGCTTCGGAAGCTGAAACATGGACATTTTGGCTGGCCTGGCTGGGAGATGGGCCCACCGGGGAACTGGAGCCCACGTCCTCCTCGAGCAGGGGATGCTCGCCCTTGCCCCACAGCTGAGTCAGGTTAGGCTGGCATTGGAACTGGCTTCTGGGTGTTGTAAGTGGCCAGCTAGTTTAGGTGGGCCCTTGGCCAAGTCGTCCCCATAGCCTAACATCCAGAAGTCCCCACAATAAGCTGTATATTCACATCGCTTTAATTTTTTTGTCTTTGGGGGTATGAAGGTTGAACCTGGGCCTTGCATATAGTACACAAGTGTTCCTTTGTTGTGCTACGCTCTGTCCTTACCCGTGGCATCAAATCCTCCTAACCTCAGACACAAAGCATTTCTGTTTTACAAGTGAATAAACAGGGGGCTCAGTGCCCAAACCCACGAACTTCCCTAAATGGCCCCCTGCCCTGCCAGGCTGCCCTGAGGTATGGGTAGGTGGCTGGATTTCTAGGTTGTATTTTCTTTTGTTTGGGTTAACTTGGGAATATCGGGCCAAAGTTGCTCAAATCTTTAAATAAAAACAAAACAACCATGGTCACAAAGCCAGGTTTGGCAGCACATACAGTATAGTCTCGGGCCTCAGGAAATAGAGGCTGGAGGATCACAGGAATTCAGGGCCAACCTTGGTATAAGATCCTGTCTCAAAAACCTGAAAGCAAAGAACTCACAATTAGGCCCACATTCTAGATTTGGGGATTCTGCCTTTTGTTTTTTTTTTTGTTTTGCTTTTGTGTTTTTTTGTTTTTTTCGAAACAGGGTTTCTCTGTGTAGTCCTGGCTGTCCTGGAACTCACTCTGTAGACCAGGCTGGCCTCAAACTCAGAAATCCACCTGCCTCTGCCTCCCAAAGGCTGAGATTGAAGGTGTGCACCACCACAGCCCGGCTTGCCTTTTGATTTTTTATTTATTTATTTTTCCCTCTTGAGTCTCTCTGAAGCCCTGGGTAGCCTAGAACTCACCATGTAGCCCAAGCTGGCCTTAAGTTTGAGATTCTCCTGCCTCAGCCTCTTGAGGCTTGGATTATAGACATGTGATAGCACAGCCCGCTGGGATAGCTGATTTTGAGTAAACAGTACATCTAGGACAGGGTCAATATTTATACACTGGCTGTACTGAGCCCCTGGTACAGAAGCCAGAGAGGCCCAACCTGTGACTCACTAGGGGACTAAGCTCGTAGAGGGGAGGGAGGTCAGAGGAGGAACTGTGTCAGGCAGTCCCAAGCCAGGGACTACCTAGATGATAGGAACCTTGGCACCCAAGTCCTGGGACTGTGGTAGGTGGCAGAGTCACAGAATTAGAGGTATCTTTCTTCTTGTAAAAATCAACAGCAGCTGCTCCATCAGAGGATCCCAATGTCAATTTCCTGAAGAATGTGGGGGAGAGCGTGGCAGCTGCCCTCAGCCCTCTAGGTGAGTCAGCTTCCTTGCCATCCTGTGAGACACCCTAGTGGCGTGGTGCCTTTCTTAGTTTGGGTTTCTGTTGCTGTGTAGAGACACCATGACCTCAGCAACTCTTTCATTTCACTGGGGCTGGCTTACAGTTTCAGAGGTTTAATCCATTATTGTTATGATGGGAAGCATGGCAGCATACAGGCAGACATGGTGCTGGAGGGAGGAAGTTGAAAGTTCCACATCTGGATGGGCAGGCAGCAAGATATGAACTGGCTTGAGATTCTGAGCCCCTAAAGCCCATCCTAGTGACATACCTCCTCCAACAAGGCCACACCTCCTAATAGTGCTATTCTCCTTGGACCTATGGGGCCATTTTTATTCAAACCACCACAGTGACTCAAAGTGTAAATGGCCTTTGGCAGCCTTCCCTGGCATGCTGCAGAGGCCAGGGCAGATATGCTTACTTGACACCAGCAGGGTTTTGTTATGTAAGATTAGCCTTTACTGCAGACTGGAATGGGTGCCCGAGGGTTGAGCTCCTGGCTGATTTTTGAGCTTTCTTCACAAAGGAGATAGAAGCAGTAGGGAGGGAGATAGATTGGCAGATGGGCTAGTTTATCACAGCTTTGGGGTAACACCAGCCTGCCTTTTCTAAGTCAAGTAAGTTGTATTTGTTTAGACTTGAAAGCAGGTGGTTGATGGTCTTTTTTTCTGTAGCCCAGGCTGACCTTGAACTGGTGTAATTCTTCCTTCCTTGGTCTACCAAGTGCTAGGATTTCTTTTCTCCCTCATTTGAGAACCCCAAACCTTTCTGAGAGCAGGGAGAAGGTGCTAGAGGCAAATGCTCTGGGTCATGCCTGGCTCCATACAAAGGACAGCTGAGGCCTGCTGAGCTGGGGAGCCTGGGGTCACCTCTCTATGCTGTGATCCTGGGCACACTGGGGTGGTTTAGAAGGTGCTTGTCCAAATCCCGTTACTACATTTGCAGTGTTAGTAGGTGGCCACAGGAACCTGTCAAAGGCTGTGTCAGTATCCAAAGGAATGCTGAGGAAAGGGGAGGGGGGGTATCCACGCCCCACCAATCTTCCACTTCATCTTGTAGTACCAGGCATGACCACCACTGCAGGCGAGGGAGGCCATCTCTGCCCATGCTGCCCCAGGTGCAGCCTTGAGACAACAGGGACATCTTGGCCTTGCAGTTAAGTTGACCAGCTGAGGATGAGATGTCCTGTAGCTCTGTCGTAGAGTGTTAAGACTGTGTTCAATTCCCAACACCAAAACCAAGTACAGACAAAGCAGTTGGGTCAGACCACATGGCCTTGGCACTGGAGGAAGCAGCTCTGGAGAGAACCAGGTTCTCATTGTTGTCCAAGGAGGCCGAAGTGGCAGAACTTCAGTTGGGAGAGAATCAGGGCTCACTTTAGGATGTAGTGGGGTTCTGGGAGACTGTAGTTCAGTTATGAAAGATTGTCTCTATTCAACAGATGAGCTTTTTTAGGCTTTTAGGGGCTGCTGTTAAGACAAGTCAGTGAGTGCGTGTGTTATGGTAGACGGGTCTCCAGGAAAGGGTGTTTCGGAGTGTATTTGTTGAAGTTAATGAATATATGTCTCTGTATATGTGTACATTTGCATGTTTTGTGCCCAGTGAGGCCAGAAGAGGGTGTGCAGACAACCCTGGAGATGGTGTTATAGGCTGCCTGATACAGGTGCTGAGAACCATGCTGGGGTCCTTTGCAAGAGCGGCAGTTGTTCTTCACTGTTGAAGCATCTCTCCGGCCTCTGCAGTGTGTATTTTGGCATATGAAAACTTTGTCATTTTGAAAAAGACGAGTCCTTCAGTAGACAAATGACAGTGTAGGGACTCAGCACAGTCTCAATTACTAGTCTACCCTCATGGTCATGGTAATGATTTTGACTTCTGTTGGAGGCTTTCCAGATACCTCTAAGCTTGGGCCACCACAGCCCATCTGTAACAGGCTCTTTAAGAGCTAAGACCAGGTCATGCTGGCGGCATATCAGGACCAGTGGGGTCTTCATTTGGGCATGCAGGCATTATTTTGCAGTACTCAAAGGTCCTCTGGGAAGATAAAAGCCTTTGACTTGTGTGGAGTTGCTAAATAGTGGAATACCTGGAGCTTCACAAGTTAGCAAGTTTCCAGAAAAGAAGTTTGAACTGAGGTAGCTTCAGCTCTTGTGGAAGTCATGGGAGTTTTCCTTCCCTTTCTCCCTGAGGAACTAAGCATGAGATGACTCTCATGCTAACTGTCTATAATGACCGTGTGAGAACAGGCCTAGAGGGGAAGGAGTTGGTACAAACAGAAGGCAGAGGTTGGGTGAGTCAGAGCCAGGGCCTATTATTGGTAGGTGGTGTGAGAACCAGCCAAGGAAAACACCTAGGACACTATGTGGCTCAGAGGCTGTAATCACTGACACCTAGGACACAGGGCCTTCCTTCATTGGGTCTTTGAAAAACACAGGCTTTGGGGACAGTAGGTCATAGATCATCAAACATTCTTCTTGAGCCCTGCAGTCTTGGGGATTTATTATTCCTTTGAGAAATCCCTAATTCAACAACCCTCTTGATCCTGCTTTGCATGTGCTTAGAAAACCATGTGTGGGTATTGGGGACCAGTTTAAGGGACATTTTGGTTTGCTTGAGCTTTTTGCGTGTGGCTCTGGAAATTGAGCCTAGAACTTTGTGGTAGATAGGCACGCTATCACTGAACAACGTTTCACCCACATAGTAGGGAAGACCTGGATCCTGTAGGTTGTCCTCTGACCTCCACATGCACATAAATAATGGTGGTGGTGGTGGTGGTGGTGGTGGTGGTGGTGGTGGTGGTGGTGGAGGAGGAAGAGGAAGAGGAAGAGGAAGAGGAGGAAGAAGTAGCAGTAGAAGTTCAGAGAACGCTTGTAAGAAACAGGACCCTGCTGGGCATTATGGCACATGCCTTTAGTTCCAGCACCAGGAAAATAGGTAGAACACTGAATTTGAGGCCTGTCTGTTCTACATAGAATATTCCAGGCCACTTGGAGCTACACAGTGAGACCCTGTGTCACAAAACAAAACAAACAAACAAAAAACCAAACCCCCCCGGTAAGACCCTCTGCCTGCCGCTGTGAAGGAAGGATGGGAGTGACAGGCCAAGGTACAAGAGAGAAGCCAGCAAACCTTTCATAAGAGACTGTTACAGATGGTCTGTGGTGTCCAAGCTTTTAATCCCAACAGAGGTAGTCAGATCTCTGAGTTAGAGGCCAGTCTGTACTTGGGACAGAGTGAGTTCCAGGACAGCTGGGGTTACACACACAGAAACCCTGTCTCAAAAAACAACAGAGTCGGTTAGAGAGCTCCAGGGCCCCACACAGCCAGCTGGTGGCTCTCATGTCTGGTACTTGAATCACCTGACCCTTTTGCTACAAAAGCTAAGGCACCAACCTGGAAGTGGGCATCAGAAATGAGCAGAAGTGGTCCAGCATTGCAGCCTCATCTGCCTGACAACAACTGAAGAATCCTTGCTGAGAGGAGGCCAAATGTCCTAAGAGAACACTAGCTCCTGGCAGCTGGGTTTTCTTGGTGCCTGCCTCTGGACGTTCTGTATGTGTGAAGCTGACTGTGGTCCTGGTTCTCCTAACAGTATCTCACTAGTGTCTTTAGGATCAGAAGCTATGGCTGACTATCTCAAAGGGTCAGCCCTCTGGGGACTCCACCTGTGAGGATCCAGGAACCTTTGCTAGAAAATGTCAGGGGCAAATCCCATATGCGTTGGGGAGGGCCTGACCACTGAGTATGCTCTCCAAGGAAAAGCCAGACCTGATGAGTTCCTGATAGCCGTGAACCACAGAAAATGATCAAAGAGACTCTGGAGAAGAATCAGGAAGTTATGATATAGAAGGGGAGATACACCCTTGACAGTAGAAAGAAGAGATATAAGCCCAGTGCAAGCAACATTTATGCATTTATATAGTGTTAGTAGTGTAAATACTGTTTTTTGGTTTTTTAAAGCCAAAGGTTATCTCTTAAAAGGACAGGGAAAGGGAGGTAAATATTGACAAGGTAGGAAATAAACAAATGTGAACTTGAACCAGGGGGCAGAGCTGAGGGGGTTGAAAGGCCCACAGTGGGACTCAGGGTGGGTTGGTGTGTGGTTAGGAAGGAACTGTTGGGGCTGTAGGGTGCTGCTGGGTGCTGCTGCCCTTTGGTCCATTTATTAGAAAGGCAGCACAAGTGAGCCTGCTGGGTCCGTAAGCACCGTGGGCAGGCTGCTAGGCTGGCTGAGTGCTCTCCAGCCTCAGGGCCACACACACAGCTGAACCTTGGAGTTCAGATGTATAATTGTCACATCATGAGGCCCTATGTGTCGTGGCCTCCAGCAGTCATGGCTAGGCATTCTGCCTATGTATGGTATTGGCTTGGCCTCTGCAGCCTGCTTTCCTATTGGGTTGGGAGAATCCAGGTTCCTCTTGGGGGACTCTGGTTTGGAGGAAGGGGAAGGGCTGATGTGATGGCGTGTTAGCAGGGCTGGGATTGGGAGAAGCAGCTCAGCTGTTTGTTTCTGGCTTGTGGGGTTGTCACATGGTCTGTTGTGTCACATAGTTGTCTGGTCATATCTAGAGCTATGTGGCTCTGGGGTTTAGGCCAGTGGCTACATCCTTATGCTGGCTGCCCATGTCCTAATCCATATACTCCGTTGGGGGCTGAGTCTGAAAGCACTTCCTCAGCCCACAGTGCTCAGATCACCGAGGTAGATGCAGGGAAGACTTGAAAGTTCAATTCCTCCTCCTCTCTAGGCATTGAGGTTGACATTGATGTGGAACATGGAGGGAAGAGAAGCCGCCTGACACCCACCTCTGCAGAAAGTTCCAGCACAGGCACAGAAGACAAGAGCAACACTCAACCAAGCAGCTGCTCTTCGGAAGTCAGCAAACCTGATGGGGCTGGGGAGGGCCCTGCTCAGTCTCTGACAGAGCAAATGAAAAAGATAGCCTTGGAGCCAATGGGACAGCCAGAGGTAGGTCTGCTAGCCTCAGCCTGAGGGAATCTATCATTCCTGCTATTTCTGTGGTGTCTTCAGCTACCCTGAACCTTCTGGTAGAACTCTGTAGAGAAAATTTTACTTAGATCTGGAGTTGTAACTCAGAATCAGGGCATTTACCTGATACACATGAGGTCCCAGGTTCATTTCCTGGCATCATGAAAAACAAAAAGAAGAAGACTTGTATTTTGCAGGCAGCTCTCCAGTGCCTGAATTCACCACACTTTGCTGGGAGCAGATAGTGGGGTTAGACCTGTCAGTTGCTAAGACCCTGATGCTCACAGCAGGTTGTATTCCAGGAACAGATGGAGTCGGATAACTGCTCAGGAGGAGGGGATGATGACTGGACACACTTGTCTTCAAAAGAAGTGGACCCATCCACAGGTGAACTCCAGTCTCTACAGATGCCAGAATCGGAAGGGCCAAGCTCTCTAGACCCCTCACAGGAAGGACCCACAGGGCTGAAGGAAGCTGCCCTGTACCCACATCTCCCACCAGGCATGTGGTCACCAGAGGTTTCATTTTCCTTCTTTGCTTTCAGAGTATCCTGTCCTGTCTGGTCTTGGCAACACAACAAGGCTAGCCTGGCTTGGGATTTTTTTTTAAGGCAGTACCTTACTACTTTGTGTACTCCAGGTGGCTTGCCTGCAGGACACGGCCTGCAGTGACAGCTGTCACTGTCAGCTGACATTAGAGAGAACTAGGACATGGTTCACACTTCTGTCTGCGTCAAGCAGCAGTAACTTCATCTCATTTTTAGGAATTCCTCGATCTCAATACCAGGGGTTCTGAGAAGGCAGATGAGACAGGGAAGGCAACACTGGCTTTGGGCAGCCATGTACCATGAAGTGGACTCAAACTCTGCACACCATTTCCTCAGGGGGTTGTAAACCTTAAAGGCAGGTGCCACAGTCAAGGCCCCAGCAGAAGCCAGGTAGAAGTATGTGTAAAGTGCAGGACAGGGATGGGCAGTCCCAAGTGTATACCCTGCAGAAGAGGCAGCCCAGCTACCCCAGAGCAACAGGGTTCAGGTGGATGGCTTATCTGGGCCAGATCTGGTGTTTGGGCTTCAAAGAGTATTTTCTCTGCAAAGAGCCAGAGGGGCAGCAAACTGTTGAATGGGTGAGAGTCTGGGGAGGTGCTCTGTCATGAGTTCAAGGCCACTCTGGCTACATTAAACCTTTGTTACCTCCCTGACAGACTGCTTAGCTCAAATGTGCAGGGCTCTAGAATGGAGTCACAGCCTGGTTTTAAGAAAAAAAAAAAAAAAAAAAAAAGGCAGGGTTATGGGAGCTGTAGAACTGGCTCATTGGATAAAGTTCTTGCAGTGCAAGTGAGGCCCAGAATTTGGGTTCCCAGAACCCTTGTAAAAAGCCAAAAGCTGAGCAGTTGTGGCAGCTGTCTACAGTCCCAGCCCTTAGGAGGCAGATGGACTCCCTTTACAAGTGGCTAAGTGGAATTGGTAAGCTATGGGTTCACTGAGACCCAACTCAATCAGTGGAGAGCAATATAGGAAGAGGCTTACTGCAACTTTGAGCCTTCACACCTTCACACACATGTGTACCCACATGGGAACATGAGTACACACGAGACAGATGCAAATAATAATAGAGGGTGAGGAGTCAGAGGCAGTTAAGAGATTTACAGTTCATTATCTATAAAGGGCTTTTATTTGGGTTAGTTTTGAGGTGGAGTCTCATTGTTGCCCAGGATGTTCCTGCTTTCAGCTCTTGAGTGTTGGGATTAGACTTGAGCCATCACCATCTGTCAGTAAAATTTTATAGGAAATAACTGCACTTACTTGTCTACCTATCTTGTGGCTGTTTTATGCTTCAGTGGCAGAACTGAACAGTTGTGACCAAGACTGGAAAGTCTGCAGAACAAGCTATTTGGCCCTTTAGCTGGCCTTTGAGGGTTCCTGTAAGGCCTAAGCAGAGGGTAAGAGGAAAAGCAGGCAGGAGCTGCTCTGTTCTGGGTGCTACAGGGCTCCTTACTTTCCTGTCTTGTTTTGGCAGAGGCTGATCCCCGGCTGATTGAGTCACTCTCCCAGATGCTGTCCATGGGTTTCTCTGATGAAGGCGGCTGGCTCACCAGGCTCCTACAGACCAAGAATTATGACATTGGGGCTGCTCTGGATACAATCCAGTATTCAAAGCACCCTCCACCATTGTGACAGTGCTGTGGCCAAGCCCCATGAGCCCTCCCCCCACTCCCCACCTTTGTCTTGTAGTTGCATCACGTAGAGCAGCAGGGCTTCTATAGGCCCCGTGTCTGGCATTCTTCTAGAATCTTCAGGTGGGAATGTGTGATGCCTTTTAAGGCAGTAGGAAAGTGCATGAGGGGAGAGTTGTGTGTGAGTGTGCATATGCTGACACTGAGAACAGAACCAGTACCCGTGGCTGTGGCTGAACTTCCTCTGCTTCCCTAGGCCTGGCCTCTGCCAGGGAACTGTGGGGTATACTGCACTCCCACTTGCTCTTGCTGCCTGTATTGCATCAGCAGTCCAGAATTCCTGCCTGATAACCTTCTGTGTTTTCTTCATTAAAAGTGATTAGTACAACTGGTAGTTATTTCCAACAAATAAAGCTGTTATGTTAAGAGAGGGCTGTCCTTAGGGAGTGAAAGGTGGCAGGCATCTGGGGCCTACGGCTCCTGGCGGATGGAAAATTCATGTGAAGCCAACTGAAGGATCTTACAATATATTGTCTCTCTTTTTAATGGCTACACTTTAGTTTTTGTGTCTAATGTTAATGCTTAAAGTACAAAACCCCCATGTAGCTTCCTCTGACTTGATTTTTAAATAACCTATAATAAAATGGCATATGCACTTTAACCAGCCCTGTGGTCCTTACCTCGTGTAGTAGCAAGAGAAATTATCTGTTTGACAGGAATGTTTATTGTTGGATTATTTGTTCTAAAGCACCCCCATCTGTGACATGGAGGACTGGCATCGAGAGATCACAGGGATAAAGTGAAAGCTACAGGTCATCATCAAAGTCCTCTCCGGTTGTAAAGAGGTTGTGCAGTTGCAAGGGTGGAGCCTTCTGGGCTCCTTGAGCCAAAGGCCTACCATCTGCTTGAGGAGTCCCCGCGGCCCTCGGCTGCTCTGGGGTCTTTCTGTCAGGCCTGTCCAGCTGTGGGACGGTAGTGTGAGTGGTTTGAGGCGGCTTGATGGTGTCAGGGGCCCTGCTGAAGTGGCCCACTGGAGTCTTGGTCTCAACAGTCCCCTGCTCAACTTGTGCTGGGTCAGCTAGCCTGGTGCCCTCCTGCAGAGGACTTGGTGGTTTCTCATCCACTTGTGGACTGCTCCCAGGTGACAGGAGAAACCGTGCCCATTTAGAAGATGGGGCATTAACTTGCATGACAGGACTTGGTAGTTTCCACCTAGGAAAACCGAGCTCCCTGATGTGGTTCACAGTACTGAGGGCAGGGCTGATGCCTTGCTGCTCTGTCCCATACAGGTCAGTGGAGTCCTGAAAAGAACCAGAGAAAGAGCTCCATTCAGCTTGGCAGGACGCTCGGCACTAACCCTGCCTTCTGCATAACCACTGGCTAATTCCTGCATGCCAGGAACATGCTATCATTGTGAGGTTTAGCAAATCAAATTTATAAATACCCCTGCCTTACCCTGACCTGATAAATCCTATGGCCACATTTCTCATATAAAGAAGACATCCTGTCATTGAGTGAAGCATCTCTTGGGAAACTTTGGGTCAGGTCAGCAGTCCCCATGAGGAGATGTGAGCAGGAAGGGGCCTAGACACCTACCACCCAGATAGCTGCAGTCTATCATGCCTGTTCATTCCCAGCTAGGCCAGAACATCTCTTCCTGTGATGCAGGAGCCCAGATGGCTACACTGAGGTCTCTGGGATGTGACAAGGTACTAGGCCTGGCTTTTCCCAGCCCAGAAACCAAAGTTTCTGAGGAAATGGTTTCACTGCTTACAAAGGAACTTGACAGTAACACTGGATCTTTGCACCATGAGAGCCTAGATAATGCTGAAGAGACTGTGACCCTGGCTGCTGATGTTGGCTTTGCCACTGAACTTGCTGTCAACTCCAACACATCAAAAGTCTTAGTTCCTCTAGAAGAGCAGACTCTGGTGAGACTGGACACTGACTCAGTTACAGTTTGGTCTAGGATGTGATCCATGGTAAAGTCTCTAACTTACAACCAGGATTCTGAATCAATACAATGGGACTATACCTACTGGGATCAGTAGGTAGTTAGGAAACATCAAACACTTCACTCTGTCTCTGGGTACTGTGCCCTGCTCAGCATGCAGTCTGAGACTGAGCTGGGCAGGCCTTTTACCTCTTAGAGGCAGAAGAGGTAAAAGAGCAAAAACCCTCATTCCTGGGACTCCCATAGCTGTGCAAAGCAAAGTCTACACTCAGCTGTGCTGAATGGAGAGTGAGGCGTTAGGTCTGAGCATCAGCACACTATAAGGTGAGCAGTAAATTTCCATGGACGGAAGCCCAGGGCAACTCCCATTGTGGCCAGGCTAACAAAGCTCCTCGACTCTGCAGGGTCAGTCCTGCCTCAAACCTTACTTGCCAGCCTTAGCTGACTCTGAGGTCTCAAGATGTCCTCTTGGCTGTCAGATAACTGCATGAGATGACGACCATGATGGCATCTTGCTGTATGTCTGAATGCCCTTGAGTTCAGCTCTTCCTGCCTCCGCCTCCTGAGGGCTGGGATTATGGGCTCAGGAATTGGCCTTTTTGCGGGGTGGGGAGGAAACAGTGTCTACTATGTACCCTGGAACTTGCTAGGTAAACTAGACTGGCTTTGAATGCACAGAAACCCATAAGGTATGTGCCACCATGCTTAGCCTTAGGATATAGCTTTAAGCAGAAAAGACATGAATTTCTTGTTAGAAGTTGGACTTTTTAGTATATAAATCTCTTACCATCAACTGTGGAGAAATATAAGATATCTAAGTTTCATGTCTTAGTGCTCATGAGGCACAGAGAAGATATAACCTGAGCCCAAAATTTTAAGGCCAGCCTAGGCAATGAGGCAAGGCCATGTCTCCAAGAACAAAAACCAAACAAAAATTTCATGGGGCTGGGAGCATAGCTTAGCAGTAATGTCTATCACACATAAGGCCCTGGCTTAAAGCCCTAACACTGCACATGTATATTCACGTGTATGCAGACATGCATGCAATCCTGCATTGGCTCCATGGTCACTGACCTGGTGTTCAAAGCTGTTGTCAGCACTGTCCACACTCTGGACATGAAGGCTGTGTGTAGGCTGCCCTGTGCTCTGATTCCGTTTCCTGGAAAAGGAAAGAAGCATGTTAGGCTCTCATCCAATGATCTCACAGGAAGTGACTGAGATGATCCTCTGGCCTGACATGGGGAAGGATCTTTTCATCCCTTACAGGTTCCTACACCACCTCCAGAACAGTCCAGCCAGCCCTCTTCTTTGGCTTGTAGTTGTTACATTATTCTTATTTGAAATTGTAATTTCGCTGGGTAGTGATGACACACGCCTTTAATCCCAGCACTTGGGAGGCAGAGGCAGGTGGATTTATGAGTTCGAGGCCAGCCTGGTCTACAGAGTGAGTTCCAGGACAGCCAGGGCTACACAGAGAAACCCTGTCTCAAAAAACCAAAAAAAAAAAAAGAAGAAGAAAGAAAAAGAAATTGTAATTTCAATTTCCTTTGCCCTTTAAGAGCCATGCAGCATCCTGAGCTCAATAAGTTTCTCTGGAAACTTACTAAGACACATGGAAATCTGGCAAGAACTCCCAGGCCCACTGATTACTTTGGCCAAAATTCCATGGCCAGCCTTGAACTCATGGTGCTCCTACTTCAGCCTCCTCTGGAATGGAGCTGCAGGCACTCAGGCTAATGGCCTAGCTCGGCTTCCACTCCCCTCTGCCAGGCATCACACAGAGGATTAGCAGTGATGGTTGCTGCCCATTTGCCCACCCACTGGACTACAACAAGGGAGTCCGACTTAGTGACTTCTAGGAGCTGCTCCCCCACCCCCCTTCAGGAGTCAGTGTGAGCATGGGGAGAGCTGGATGAGAGCCGTTTGGCACCTCTTCCTGGGTTGGGCTGGACTGCAGGGTAGACTCGGCCACTCAGCACTGGCTGAAAGCTGTGTCTTAAGAGCTGGTCTTCCTCTGTCCAGCTCCTGGTCTTCAAAGCCCTTGTCCAGATACTTCAGCCATCGGGACTCGAGGGGCTTAGACAGTGCCTAAGTGTCAGAACAGAAAGCAAATCTCAAGAGTTTTAAAGCAGCCTAAGCCCACCTCATAGCGCGTAGGTCAAAGTTCTTAGGACCCATGGTTTTCTCTCATCACTAGGAAGGACTTCTAGTAGAGCAAAACGTGATACAGCTGCCTTAAGACGCTAGAACACTGGCTCTCAACCATCCTAGTGCTGTGACCCTTTAATACAGTTCCTCATGCTGTGGTGACCCCAACCATAAAATTACTTTCATTACTACTTCATAACTGTAATTTTGGTATTCTTATTATGAATTGTAATATAGGTATCTCATATGCAGTATATGTGATATGCAACCCCTGTGAAATGGTTGTTCATCCCCAAAGGTATCTAGACCCACAGGTTGAGAACCAGTGCTCTAGCAAGCTGCTGTACACAGGCCTAGCAGGGCATAACTTGTCACAGACCTTCTCAATGTCAACACTCTCCTCCAACACATGCTCACCCATGATGCACAGATGTACAATGAAGAAGGAACTGCAAATAGCAAGTACTTAAGAGAGCAAACTGGTGTTCCAAGACACTCTAGATTTTTTTTTTTTTCTAGACAGGGCTTCTCTGTGTCTCCTTGGCTGTCCTGGAACTCCCTCTGTAGACCAGGCTGGCCTCAAACTCAGAGATTTGCTGGCCTCTGCTTCCTGAGTGCTGGGATTAAAGGCATGCACCACCAACTGCCTGTTGACACGCTAGAATCCTCAAACATGAAAATTCCTGAAGACCATAGAGTTCCAGAGAGGAGTACATACTGGTGTTCAAACCTGGGACTACCAGGTCTACCCTAGGCTGCATCCCATTCCCCAGCACCAGCTATTACTTGTAGTAAGAATGGCATAAAATAATCTTTGTAAAAGGACCAAACAAGACTGGGTGTGATGGCGCATACCTTTAGTCCCAGCACTCAGAGATAGGCAGATCTATTTGAGTATGAGGCCAGCCTGGTCTACACCAGAGCCATACAGAGAAACCCTGTATCAAAAAGAAAGGGGGAGAGAGAGATAGATAAAGAGAGAGAGGGAGAAGAAGAGATGAGGAAGAAGAGGAGGAGGAGAAAGAGGAGGAGGAGGAGGAGAAAGAGGAAGAGGAGGAGGAGAAAGAGGAAGAAGAGGAGGAGAAGGAGGAGGAGACTGAAGAGACTGAAGAGAAAGTATACACATGGATACACACACATGTCAGAAGGGCTTTTTGTGTTCTTACAAGCACTGCCTTTGTTTAAAATAAAATCTGAAAGCTAAGTGCAGAGAGAAGGTGGGCCGTGTAAGTCATGAGCAGAGTCGAGTCAGCTGCAGATTCGTTGCAGGAGTTTCCACGCACCACACTGGTAGCCACAGTGCAGCATCCTGGCCTAATGCTGTGTCAGTTAAGTCAGTCACTAGCCACACCTTTAATTCCAGCACTCAGAGGCAGAGACAGGCAGATCTCTGAGAGTTCGAGGCAAGCCTGATCTACAAAGTGAGTTCCAGGAAAGCCAGGGCTGTTACACAGAGAAACCCTGTCTCACAAAACAAATCAAAATAAAAAAGAAGCCAGTCACTACCCACCCAACAGTGGCTGACTGGCTGAGAACCTATTTTGTAAGCCTTCTTTCAGGCTCTAGGGGCAGAGAGCACTGCTTGCCATTCCTGCTCTTGAGGAATGCCCAGTCTGCAGCAAGGGAGGAAGAGGGTAGATGCAGCAGGGAGAAAACACTGAAGTTCAGGGAGCTCTGAAAGCAGACAAGGACAGTCCAGGCCATAGAGCAGGTCATGGTGAATGCACCTTTGCAAAGGACAGGGTCTGTTATTCGGATGCATCAATAAGCATTTGCTAAACCACGGATTTTTGTTGTTGGGCATTGATTCCCCACCCTTGGGCATACAAGGCAAACAAGTGACCAATAAACACTGTTAATGCTTATAGTTATGGGCTAAGCTTCTGCACAAGATCCCAACACACCAGACTCAAGTGAAAAACTGAGTCCCGTGTGCTAACTCGGATCTGTATCACTCACTAACTTGGAACTGAATTCCTGGAAAGCAGGAGAGATGGTGGCCCAATGCCCTAAACAGGCTGGTGTCTATGGACAGGATTGCAGCAGCTCTCTCTGAGATGATGCTTAGTCCCAAAAGGAGGCTGAGTGAAACCCATCAGTCACTTTCCTGTGGTTCTGTCTATGCAGAGGGAGCCACCTGAAGGGTCAGTTTACTTTTGTTCAGTTCCTTCCTCTCACCCCTCTAGCCCACCAAGCATGCACTCAGTTCACTGGAATGCTCTCTCTGTTTCATGGACTGATGGTCCTGCCAGACTCTAGAAGGCAAACAGAGGTGACTGAGATCTTTAAATGCCTTGTAATTTGTCCTTGGGCAATCCTCAAGTGGAACCCTCGAATAGCAGCCCAGGGGACAGGGTGGGGCAGTGGCATTAGCTTACCTGCTGACTCCCAGCCTCAGCCTGCTGAGGTCCTGCGTTCTCCTCTTCACTGGCATTAACCGCTTCTTCCACAGACCTTAAGGGAAGATGGCAAGCGTGACCCTGTGAAACCACAGGAAGACGTAGGACAGGAAAGGGGACACCAGTGTGTATAAGAACTGGCAAGGCTAGGGCTGTCCTGGGGCGTCACAGACATTCCTGCTGCCCTCATGGAGGCACTGTTCTCAGCACTTCAGGAGACGTGGGCAGAGTAGTTACTCCTTGTAACTGAAGGGCAGGACAGCCAGGTAAAACAGCTAAGTACAAGTCCTTCAGGTTTGAGTCTATCTATGGCCACCTCAGAGATCTCTGCCTCCCTCTGCCTCCCAGGTTCTGTAACTAAAGGCTTATGCCACCACCCCCTGATCTTAGGCACATTTTAAAAATAATAATGAGTTTTACTTTCAAGAGTATGTAGGGGTACTCTGTGGGGTGCCACAGCTAAGGGAAGACAGACTCTAGGGATGAAGTGTGGTGGCCCCTTCACAGGGTCCGTGTGGTCTCGCACCCGTTCCCTCTAAAACAACCCTGGGATCTACGCTCTCTGGACCACCTCCACTGTTGTGGGACCCTTGCTTTCCTCTCCTGTGGCATGGAGGCTCTCCGGGCTCTACCTCCCCTTCTCTACTGGGGCCTGTAACCCTTGTGTAATCTCTGGGACTAGTGGCAGGGCTTGAGAACTGCCGGATGCTCAATTGTTTTTGAAAACTATGAAAACTTTGGTTGCTTTATGTTTGGGATACAAGCAGATAAAACAGAAGCATTTCTGGAAAAAGCCAAGTACCCCAAATAGTCATACCTTCTCAGACACTCAATAATACACTGTCATTTCCCCTTCTGGGGACTGCTAAAACCAAGCCCCCCCATCTCTGGTAGGGTTGTCTTAATTCCTGCTAAAAAGAGTACAAGGCTGGTGAGCTAGCTCAGAGGGCCAAGGTACCTGCTGCCAAGCCTGACAACCTGGGTTTGATCCCCCAGGCTCTATGGCAGGGAAGGAGAGAAACAGCTCTTGCAAGTTATCCTCTGACCTCCACACATGTATGCTATGGGCATAAGGTAAGACAACCGTACTTCCTGTTTGACAGGTATTATTCTTTGGTGACCACACAAATAAATGTTAAAACCTGTTTTCTTGTTTTTTTTTAAAAAAAAGACGACCAGTCTGGCAGAACAATGGGAGCACTAAAGGAGAAACAGACACCAGTGAAGTCTAGAGGACCACACAGCAGCGTCTTAAATCCCAAGAAAGACCTGGTTCTCAGAGCCACAGCTTCACAGGTCCCTCATTACCACGAACTAGCTTCCTTGTAAGAAGAATATTCTGTAAAAATACAAGTGCTCTTGGTACAGCCTGCTGTCACTGGACTCAGCAAAAGCCACCATTTACTATCTCCCAGCTCTTCAGAGCTGACGATGCCTTTGTGACTACAAATGTTAACACAGGGTTAATGTTTAAAAATCTTTACTTAGGCTCTGTGTGTTCTGCCTCCTTCTGACTTTTCATTAACTGAAGGTCATTCAACGTGGAACTTTTGTCATCTTGGCTGACTTTTGCTGGAATGTAACGTTCTGTAATTCTTGGACTTTTGTGTGACCAAGAAGAAAAAAATGTTTATAATTTTTTTTTTTTTTACATTCCAAATGGCAGTGAAGTCTGCCTAAGAACTACCCTAGTCAAGAACAATTTGCAAACAGATAACCTTCAATTATTACATCATGCCATATATATTTAGACCGAGTTCTTTTAACATACTGGTAAGTTTATACATTACATTGCTTTGTCTCCTAACTAGATCATCAACACAAAGTATTTTATTTTAGTACATCAAAGAAAAAAGTAAACGAAGAACCAGTAAATCAGAGAAAACAGTATACAGGATGTAAGCATGAAAGTAATTTGGGGATTAAAAGATTTTTGCTTAGTAAAAGAAGATTTTGTCTTAAAGTAAAATAACTGTTTGTTTGTTTTTCAGAATGAAGAAAGAACAATAAGAACAAGCATTTAGCTATACCAAAGAAAGCTTGTGGAAGTTGACCCTTAAAGGGGCTGGAGAGATGGCTCAGTAGTTAAGAGCACTGGATGCTCTTTCAAAAGACTGGGGTTCAATTCCCAGCACCCACATGGCAGCTCACAGCTGTCTGTAATTCTAGTTCCAGGGACTCTGACACACAGACACACAGGCAAACAGCAACACACATAAAATAAAAATAAATATATCATTAAATAAAAAGATGTACAACCAAGTTAAAATTGCCTAGGTCAAATCTTAGCAATATAGAACTACAATCTAGACTAAAATCTAGGCTCTTTAAAATTATAAATAAAATTCTATTAAAATAATGATCTGCGCCAGGCGTTGGTGGTGCATGCCTTTAATCCCAGTACTTGGGAGGCAGAGACAGGTGGATTTCTGAGTTTGAGGCCAGCCTGGTCTACAGAGTGAGTTTCAGGACAGCCAGGGCTACACAGAGAAACCCTGTCTCAAAAAACAAACAAAAAAAAAAAACAAAAACAAAAAACAAAACAAAAAAAAAAGATCTGCTTCTGGTAATAGCTAAGAAATAAATAGTTTGTGATTTCTTTTTCCACATGTATTATTTTGTTTGTGGGAAGGGGCATACATGTGGAGGTCAGAGGACAATTCCTGGAGTCTGTTCTCTTGTTCTACCATGTGACTCCTAGAGACTCAACTCAGATCATTAGGCTTAGTGGCAAGCACCTTTACTCACTGAGCCATCTTGTAAGCCCAGATTTTATGTCTTATCAAAAATAATTAGTCTGTCAGGCTTTTAATTACTTAAAAATGAATTAACAAAATCAAATTTTATTTTAAAACTTATTTTTTCTCTAAATTTTTAACTAAATGTTACACAAGTTAAACTAAAATCCATTCCTTCTTCTTCAAGATTGCTAACACTGTCCTGGGTGGACACCTGAGGCAATGAGGATGAAAGACTCAAAAAGGACAAGCAGTGTTGTGGGCTCCCTCTCCCAGGCCAGCCAGGACTCAGGGAACAATAAGACCGCCCCTACAGCAGCCCTCCAAGTCCAGAAAGTCACCTGTCCTCTTCTTCAGAGAAGCCATGGAGACACATGAGGTGGGACTCTAACCAGTATTCATCCTTCAGTGAGGAGAGTTATTGGGGGTGTTGGAGGAGGGAGGAAAATGTACCCTGTACTTCAAGAAAAGCCATACAACCAGTAAGACCCCACCCCTTCCCAAGAGCTGACATAATGGGAAGAGGAAACGTTAACTCCTCAAATCCCTAGGATATTTGACTTTCAGTTTTTTATTTTTGTTTTAAATAGCCAGGAACAGTGGAGATACAGGCCTTTAATCCCAGAATTCAGGAGGGAGAAGCAGGTGGATCTCGGGCCAGCCTGGCTTATACAGTGTGTTCTGTCTCAGCCAACATTACACAGTTCATTACACAGTCAAACAAACAAACAAACAAACAAACAAACAAACAACAAACAAGAAGGTGCTGGAGAGACAGTCCAGTAGTTGAGAGCAACTGCCTGTCTTACAGAGGACTTTGGTTTGGTTCCCAGCACTCACACATCAGCCCACAACAGTCTACAGGATCTAGCACCTTTGCACAGACATACATGCAGGCAGAACATCGACAAAACATCAATGCACGTGAAAAGAAATCTTTTTTTTATTTTTGAATGTTTTACAGGGATTTATTTCTTTTTGTTTTATTGTACATTGGTATTCTGCCTGCATGTATGTCTATGTGAGAGTGTCAGATCCCCTGGAACTGGAGTTACAGACAGCTATGAGCTGCCATGTGGATATTAGGAATTGAACTCAGGTCCTTTGAAAGAGCAGCCAGTGCTCTTAACTGCGAAACCATCTCTCCAGTCCCAATAAATCTTTTTTTGTTTAACTTAGAATTAAAAAATAAAAAAGGTTAATTTCTGGCATCTAACTGGTCTTAAAAGCCAAAAAGGAAAGTATAACTCTGTAATAAAATAACTCATAATGTTATAAAGTCAAATTCTTCTGTCTCATGACCAGGACTCTCAGCCTGACCTTGCTGAGCCAGGAGACCTGGTACTTCTAAAGACCCACAGAACAGTCAGGTGACAGGCTTCAGTCCATTTTAAGGGACCCTAAAGGACAACTTCAGATGTGCAGACCACAAGCCACAGCTCCTGATTCTACAAGTATTAAATGGGAAGCGTTTTGTTTTGTTTTTTATATATATGAGTACACTGTCGCTATCTTCTGTACCAGAAGGTGGCATTGGATCCCATTACAGATGGTTGTGAACCACCATGTGGTTGCTGGGAATTGAACTCAGGACCTCTGGAAGACCAGTCAATGCTCTTAACCACTGAGCCATCTCTCCAGCCTTGTGTTGTTTTGTTTTTTTAAGATTTATTTTTATTTTTCCCCCTTGAGCTGGAGTTACAAATGGATAGTTGTGAGCCACCTGATGTGGGAGCTGGGAATGGAACTCAGGTCCTCTGTAGGAGCAGTCAGAGCTCCTAACTGCAGAGCCCCTTTCAGCCCCCAGGCGGTGTCTGGGCTGTGCTTTGCTTACCCTCACTGTGCTCTACCAGGCAAATCCTTCTAGGCTGCCATAAGTCCTTTCAAAATGTTCTATTTGTCCATCAGAATCAAAATGTCTGTCTGCCTCTGTAGACATAATCCACCTCTGGGTTTCTTCTATTATTGTAAAACATCCAAAATCAAAACCAATCAACCAAAAGAAGCCTCCACACAGCTGGGCCCGTCTGGCTTAGTCTCCACTTAGACACCCGCAGTTACTCGGCCTCTCTCAGCCTTTCCTGTGAGTTTCGGGCACTGCAGGAGCTCTTGGGCATCCCTGGGCCCAAGGCACACTTACTGATCATATCGGCATGTGTCTCCTAACTCTACTCTCCTTTATCATAGGGGCTGACAAGAAAGTAAGCTACAACCCCAGTCTGCTCCCCGTGGGACAGGAGGCTCTTGCCTTCCTGTTCTCTACTGCCTGGGCTTCCCCTTCAGTCCACGTTTCTTCCTTCTTCTGCTGGTTTTCATGGTTTGAATAGACAGGGATATGGTTTGTCTTTTTTACCCCTCTGCCAAGATTTCTTTAAAAAAATGTTTTAATTTTTTTTTTTTTTTTTAAAAATGATGTGTGCATGATGTGGGAAGGATCACAGGGAAGCAGCACACAAGTCTGTGGGTCTGGCTCTTGCCTCTGCCCTCCACGTGGCTTCAGCTGTGAGAGGTCCCCAAGTTCACACAGCAAATCTTACCTCCTGAGCCATCCTGCCTGCCCTCCCATAGGACTTCTTACTGTGTTCTACATTTTCAGTTACTGACCCTTTCAACACCTAGCCATATTTATTTTTTATAAAATCCAACAACCCCTTTGGTGACTCAGCTGGGAAGCCTCCTGGGTAACTGCTGCCTGCATTTGGGTTATTTTTGGCTTCACTGTCTTGTTTGCTTGTTTTCTTGCTTGTTTGTTGTTTTTTGAGACTGGAACTCTGAGACTGCCTTCCTTTGCCTTCTGAGTGCTGAGACTAGAGGCCTGGGTCACCACCACCCCGCTGCTCCATCACCTTTTTTAGTTTGTAATTCTGCTTTATGGTTTGGATCTTACTTCAACCTTCTGGAATTTTTCAGATAATCAAGCTCCAGATGGTACTGTCACAGAGGCATTAACTATTAGTATCGCCATCGATGCCTGTCTCCTGCCACAGACAACCTGACAACCTCTAGGTCTCCATGATGTCATATCTACCCTTGTGACAGCTACTCCTCTCTGTAAAATGCCTCTCTAGTGTCTACACCCTAAAATCTTGGGACCCTTGGATGAGTCAGCAAGCTAAGAGGTATCTCCAACCCACTCCTCCCTGAAGACCCAGAGCCTGTTCTGTAGGACCTTGTCCGTCTGTCAGAAAGGAAATGAAGACAGAGAAGGCCAAAAGGAAATGTAAAATTCCCACTTTTAACAATTCTGTCATGATCCCTAGTGACCCACAGAGTTTACAGGCATACCTGGAGCCTGACCTCTTCCACAGTAACATTTACGACTTTGTAAAATAACAAGACACTTGTCTGTCCACTTACTTAGAGAGCTCTCACACACAACTGTCCTATCAATTGCTATAAAGGACTTTCAGCTCCCTTTCAGTCCCATGATCCCTCCCTGAAACTAACCCTCTACTTCAGTGTATTGTAGTAAATTCTCTCTTTGTCTATTTTTGCCTTTGGTAAATTCTTTTACCTCCCACAACATCAAACCTTCAAATGCAGTTTCACACATCAAGAAAGAAAGAGAGGGGCTGGAGAGATGGCTCAGTGGTTAAGAGCACTGACTGTTCTTTCAGAGGTCCTGAGTTCAATTCCCAGCAACCACATGGTGGCTCACACCATCTTTAATGGGATCTGATGCTCTTTTCTGGTGAGTCTGAAGACAGTGACAGTGTATTTACATATATAAAATAAATCTTTAAAAGAAAGAAAGGAAGAAAGGAAGGAAGGAAGGAAGGAGGAAGGAAGGAAGGAGGAAGGAAGGAAGAAAAGAAAGAAAGAAAGAAGGAAGGAAGGAAGGAAGGAAAGAAAGAAAGAAAGAAAGAAAGAAAGAAAGAAAGAAAGAAAAGAAAGAAAGAGGACATTAAGGGAACAAGAAAAGAGACAGAAGCCCCTCATCCAATCTGCCTGAATTCTCTCAACAGCTGAGACCTGAGAATTTACAGATAACTAACAAAATTCACTGGAATTGCCTGTATAATACAACATTCAATTTTACAGAAATTTCAAACTAGAATGTTGCAAGGTGTGGTGGCCCATGTCTTTAATCTCAATATGCAGGTGAACTTTGTGAGCTCAAGACTAGCCTGGTCTACTTGGTGAATTTCAAGCTACCTAGGGCCATACAGTCATAGCCTATCTCAAAAACAAAAAGCAAACAAACAAACAAAAGCCCAAACCAAACCAAACCAACAACAAAAACAAAGCAAAGCAAATGAACAAAAATCTTAAGACCAAAGTGTACCTTTGAGTTTACTCATTTTCTGTAAAGTTACAGGCTGTAAACCTGTAACTTTCTGTGACTCTTACAAACAAGAGTATGAACTTTGTCTACAGTAAACACATGCCTTAAGGCTAGCATGTTCTAACCTTTAACTGAATACCATAGATGCAGGGGCCGATCTTCGTGAGTTCCAGGATAGCCAGGGCTATGCAGAGGCTCTGTTCAAACAAACGAACAAACAAACAGTCCCTGTGGCCTAGCACAGCTAAGATTTCTTCAACCCTTTTGACCTATGGTTCTATTGGAGGGAGGGCAGATGGGGGATGTCAAGAAAGGTTGTCCCAGAACTCACTATGTAGATGAGGTGGCCTCAAACTCACAGAGATACAACTACTTTTGCCTCCCAAGGACTAGGATTAAAGGTGTGAGCCACCACCTGGCTAAAACTTTTAAAAAAATAAATACAAAAGCTAATACTGAGTTGTCCTGAGAATCTTTCTGAGGCAAGGTCAAGAATCCCAGTTTTGTCTCAAAAAACCAAAAAACCAAAAACCAAAACAACAACAACAAAAAGAATCCCAGCTTCAATGGGCATGGTGACACAACATGCCTTTAATCCTGACACTTGGGTGGCAGAAGCAAATGGCTTTCTATGAGTTCAAGGCCAGCCTGATCTACATAGTGAGTTCAAGGACAGCCAGGGCTATAGAGATAGACCGTCTCAAAAAAAAAAAAAAAAAAAAATCCTATCTTCACCTGAGTAGAGAGGTCTCTGGGAGAACTCAGGGCTGCAGTCAGGAGGGTAGAGATGCATCTCCTGTTTCCAGGGCCACTACCATTTCCATACAGACCATCCAAACCAGAATTTCCCATTCCCAAGGTGGGTCACAGAAATTCAAATCTTGGCTTGTCTTTCTGGTTGTAGAACTATCAATAAATTCTTTGTCCTTCTCTTATGTAATAGGTCACCATGTACTCTTCATCCTACAAGGGTCATGTCTCCATTTACTGGAAGAAAGAATGCCACACAAAGGTCTAGAATGTCAGAGCTGACAGGCTGTTCTGGCTTTCCTGTCAGCTTGGCAGGAAGCATGTCTGTCTACATAAAAACCCAAAAGGCAGGGTTCAGAGAGCTCCTGGGACAACCAAATGAGAGGAGGCCCCCAGAGAGGCCATGAGAACTCATGCCTGTGCCAGAAGGGCAGCACATTCTAACTCCAAGGGAACAGAAACTCCAGCTGCTTGTGAGCCTTCCAGACCTCAACCATACACCCATCCATATAAGTGCTTTATTTTGAGACAGGGTCTCACATAGCTCAGGCTAGCTCTGAACTCACTCACTATGCAGTCAAGGATGACTTTAAATTTATGATTCTCCAGTCTCCGTCTCCTCAGTGCTGGGATTATAGGTACTCATATCATACCTAGCTTCCACTTGACTTTTTTTTTTTCCTCTTGAGACAAGACTTTTTGTGTAGCCTTGGCTGTGGTGGAACTAGCTTTGTAGACCAGGCTGGCCTTGAACTCTGCCTCCTGAATGCTGGGATTAAAGGTGTCTCCCACTCCTAGCTCCACTTGGCTATCTCTAAATCTCAGATTACCAGCCCGGCCCGTTCTGCCTTGTTTGTGGTTGAGCACAGTAAACACATAATCCACACTTTTAAAGTTTTCTGTGTCTCACTCTGACTGTTGTGCATGCTCATGCACTACCGCTCAGTAGACTTTAAAGTCTGCACATTTGCTCCTTCATCTTTTTGTCTGCTCTGTTCTCAAAAGGCAGGCTGAAGATAGGGTGTTCCAGAGAAGAGCTACCCTGACCTCCACTTCCTGAGATAAGTAGAAATAAACTCTAAGCATAAGGCTCTTCAGAGTGAGAATAAAGGCTGAAGCCCATGGGAAGGCTGTGTGTCTGTTGGAGAGGGATTTCTTTAGCCATGTCAAGGTCAATATAGGGCAAGCATCCTGCTGTACAGTGGGTCTTGTTGTAGCTCACTGTAAAATAGGGCATATGTCTCAGCTGCTTACAAGGTCCTTAGAGACAGCCATAGTGGGACACCTCTGTCATCTTGGTCCACAGAGAGGAAAGAGGAACTAGATGAGGTCAGTCTCAACAGAGCAAGGAGAAGCATTGTACCCACACAGAAGACCACAAGATGAGACTCTAAATACAAGTAGGGCAGTCCCCTGCTGAATCCAACACAGTTCAGGCTTTCTGTTCTGTCTGCTGTTTCTTGTGCCCCTCAGACATCCACCTGTCAGCCTGAGTACAGTTCTCAGTCCCTCTGTAGCCTAGATGTTTCTGTGGATTTTGACTTTCACCTCATTTTTGACCTCTTAAGGGTCCTTATTTTCTTGCTAGCCAGGTTTACATGTAAACTATTACAGACAAAGGCTGGTGAGACGAGTCAGCAGGTAAAGGTACTTGCCACACAAGCCAAGTGACCTGAGTGATCTTTAGAACCCACGAAAAAGTAGAATCAACTTCACAAAGTTGTCCTCTGATTTGCACAGCACACACATATTAATTATTAAAATATTAATAGTAATAAAAACTCCTATCTAGTAAAAAATGTTAGCTATTTTCATTGAGAGCGGCTCAGGGTGTTTAAGCTGTCATGCTGCTGCGCTCGCTCGGGACTTATCCATTGCAAACTCCCATCCCCTAATCAATATGCAAACAAGGTAACAAGTCTCTACTCCTTTCAAAACACTGTACCTGAGTGACAGCTCTGACACTTGTCCTTGCAGCAGATTTAGCTTTTGGACATGGCGTCTACAGTCAGCACCAGAGCCTTCACCGTAAGCCTGAGAGGAAAAAAAATTTTTTTTAAAGTGATAGCAGAATGGTGAGAAACATTAGGATAACATCGAAAAGCGTGAGGTTAAGAATATACAGGTCTAGCCAGGTGGTGTTGTAGCACATCTTTAATCCCAGTACTCTGGAGGCAGAGGCAAGTGGCTCCTTGAATTTGAGGACAGCCTGGTCTACACAGAGAGTTCCAGGACAGCCAGGGCTACCCAGAGAAACTCTGTATGCTGGAGAGATTTATAAACAAATAGCTTTGGAATGGCAGTTCAGGCCTTTCTGACCATCCCGCTATCATGCAGATTTTTTTTTGTTTTTCTTGTTTTTTGTTTTTCGAGATAGGGTTTCTCTGTATAGCTCTGGCTGTCCTGGAACTCACTCTGTAGACCCGGCTGGCCTCGAACTCAGAAATCCGCCTGCCTCTGCCTCCCAAGTGCTGGGGTTAAAGGCATGTGCCACCAATACCCAGCTTAACATGCAGAATTTACTAAAGCCAAACTCAGCCTGCATTGGGAATCCAAGCAACTGCAGAGAGGAAGACTTCAGGGGGAAGGTCTGTGTCTGTGCTGAACATGTGTTTGTCATTATTCCCTAAACAATGTAGCATAGCACTGTACACAACATGCACACTGAGGTATTACAAGTCACCTAGAGGTGATTTAAACTATGCTAGAGGATCTGGGAATGGTGGCACAAACCTTTAAAGACAGCATTTGGGAGGCAGAGGCATGTGGATCTCTATGAGGTCAAGGACAGCCAAGGATATGTAGAGAGAACCTGTGTCCAAACACCACCACCACCACCACCACCACCACCACCACCACCATACAAGAAAGGTGGTAGCATGTCTCCATAAGTCCCAATTACTTGGGAAGCTGAGGAAGGAGGATAGTGTGAGCACTGACTGGGTAATAATCCCACTCATCACTGCTCAAGAAAGCATGCTGCAGGATATGCAGAGGTTACACAACAGTGTATAGAGGGGCCTCCATGGTTACTGAGGGACGGCTGTGATTTGAATGTTGAACTTTTGGTTTACAAGTGAGGTCATACAGGACAGGAGGACACGTTTGTGAGCAGACAAGATGTGCTCTAAGTGTCCACTGTTCCCGCCACTCTAACTGTGGTGGAGTCTCAGTGCATGCTGGGCAGAGAACTCCTGTGGACTCCTGGTGTCCACAGGAGCGAGCAGCGGGGCCAAGTGTACTTTGTGTGTGATGTCCACACTGCAAGGTGGGTGGCACTGCAGCCCAGGCAGCCAGGAGGTAAGCTAAGAATGGCTGAGTACAGAGCATGGCAGCACATGATTTTAACTCCACCACTCAGAACACAGAGACAGGAGGACTGCTGCAGGTCCAACGGTAGCCTGGACTACATAGCAGGCTATGCAGTCTCAAACAAAACAAAACTAAAGTAAAACCCAAACAGCTGAGTTTTATTTATTTTGCCTGTCCACTATTCAGGCACAGATGAGTTGTGAATGATGAATTGTGTAATTTTAATGATATGTACTAAGTATTCTCATTTGTGTTTCAAATTGGCACCGTACAATAGAAAGGCAAACAGCAAAATTCATGCTATTCACTGTGAACGTAACTTTTATCTGCCTGATATAATTGTTGTCTCTGAAACTTACTGTTGTCTGGTAACCCAGGTCTAGTCCTGGGAGCTTCTAGCCTCTGTACAATCTAATCTAGGCCTAAAATGTTTTCAGCCTCTGTGACTTATGGCTGAGTAAGCTTACTCTTTCTACTTCTGAACTCTGGCTGGCTGGTTCAACTCAGCTGTTCTGGCTCAAACTTCTCTCCAGGCTGACCAATTCAAACTGGCTTCTCTCAATGTCTCCTGAATTGCTCTGAATTGCTCTGTTTGACCTCAAACTCTAGCAATCTGTTCTAATCTGGCTCCCTCCTGTGTCTAGTTTGCTCTCTAATCTGTCTCTGTAAAATTCTGCTGGTAATGGTAAACCTACCTCCCCTGCCCCTCAAGTAGCTTTTCTTTCTTCTCTGTTCTTGTGAGAGTTGGGCAGATCCTGTTCTGTCAAATTTTTCTCTGATTTGCCCCTTTGTCTGCCACTTTCAAACACCAGTGCTTCCTTCTACAAACTAACTTTACCTTCACTGTTTGGGATTAAAGGTGTGAACTAAGGGCGTGTCTGTTTTCCAGTTTAAAGGTCTGTGTTAAAGACTGAGCCAGACGACCTGTAGAAACATTTTTCCCCCCAGTAAATAGCACAATCTTGGAGTTCACATTGTGACCAAATATCCTGCAACAAGTGAATTGTTGCCTTGGGAAGAAAAGTCATAAAGAGAAGGCTTAAAGCTGAGTTCAGGGGTGAAACATGTAGCATAAGACCCTTGGTTCATTTTCCATTAATCCATTCCCTTAGGAAAGAAAATCCACACAAAGTTTCTGCCTGTAGTGGTTTCTTCCCCTGCCATTTGAACAAGAGACTCCATATTTTCCCCCTCACAAAAAAGAAACTTAGGCCACCTGGAGGGCTCTGAACAAAGCAATGATACAACCCAGCACCTTTTCTTTGTATCTTTTCCTTTTTTTGAAATACAATCATGTATTCTAGGCTGGCTTTGACCTTCTCCTGGCTGAGGGTGACCTTCTTTTCTCCACCTCCTGAGCACCAGAATGCAGCTGTGTGCCACCATATCCTTTTTAAGACAATGTTTTCAGAGGATCCCTGTGATTGCAGAGTTGGAACGAGACTTGATGACAGAAATAGGTGGGTGAGTTAGGAAGCTACTGCAAACAGAGTAGGAAGAGGCCGACTCACTTATTCAGTGAGGTTAGATGAGGCCACGCTCTGGGTCTAATCTGAAGGCAGAGCTCGAAGAGGCTGCTGCTGCAGAATGTAAATGAAAATAAGGGTCAAGGGTGACGGCGACAGCTTCAGTCCAAAGAGAGAGACACTTGACACTGAAGGCTTGGGGGCCGACTGTGAAATCAGTCAGCGGCTTCATGAGGTCAGAGTTCCCACTTTTCAAATTTGAGGTGCTGGGGAGTGAAGGAACCCAACTAGAGATATCCAGGAGACAGATGAGTAGGGAAGTGCCCAGGAGCCTGAGGACAAGCCTGGGATCCTCAGGATACCTTGACTCTGCATGCCAGGCTCTCCCACTGAGCTCCACTCCAATCTTGTGAATACTCTCTCCCTAAGGGAGTGCAGCTAAAGAACTGGCCAAAGGCTTGCAGTGTAGTGTACTTCAGTGTTTGGAAGTTGGGGAGGTGAGGAAACCAGTGAGAAGACTGAAACAACAGCCAGGAAGCTAGGAGTAGACAAGATAGAAGTGCGAAAGAGGAAATGTTTTTAAGGAGGTGGAAGTTACAACCCATGAAAAATGCTGCCAATAAGTTGTCATGTGAGGACTGTGAACTCACCTGTTTAGCAACATGGAGGTCACTGACTGGCCACAGCAGTCATGGTCTAGTAGAGAGTGCAGCCCTGTCTGCTGTATGTTCAAGCGAGGGCACTAGGAGTTGGGTACAGGGGATGGCAGTTAAGAAGACTGATAACCTGCATCTGGTTTAACAGTGGGGGTAAGCTCTCTGCTGCACACTGAAGCACATCTTCCTCTATGGAGACACAAAACAAGACTCTCTGGCCTGGGATACATGAGGGTTTGACACTAGCTTTCTATTGCAATGTCAGCTACTTCTGAGCCTGGCCCTAGAAGCCTCCTGGGAACTCCCCAGTGTTCTTGCTCCTCTGGCTAGAGGCAGCTGGATAAGCCTTACAAAATAACAGAATGTCAGCAGCTCCCCTCAGACATTTCAGTGTTCTCTCTAGAGGGACAGAAACAACTTCCTGATGTTAAGCTGCCTGACAACCATAACCAAGCACCACTCCACAGGCACCACAGGTGAAGACTGCTTTCTTGAAGAACTTAAGAAACCTGCAGTAGTAATCCCTGCACAGGCACTCAGGTCTACCCAGCTGAGGCAGCTCCTATCTTGGGAGCTGAGTCTCAGCTGACTGGCACAGAAATGGCTACGTGTTAATCACATTGCTTCTCCCAGGACTCCATGATTGGAACTGGCTAGGCCATTGGGCTGACGGTGGAGTTCTGGAATCCCCTGAAGGGCTTGATCCTGTGTGCTGAAGGGAAGAAACAGGAAAGGCCAATAGACAGGCTGAGAGCTGGGGACAGGGTGACACCAGGCTTTTTTCAGTGGGGGGTGGAGGGGAGCACAGTGAGCATCAACAGTAGGCCTTGAACTTATCAATGTGCTTTAATGTCCTGAATGTGGGATGGCGGGCATGTGCCATTGTGTCTGGATGGATTCTCAATTACAGAGTCACTGTTCAAGGACTCAGGGCAAAGTTCTGTTTTTCCTGACATGCATCATGTTGCTGGCACATTCTTTTTGTTTTTGTTTTTCAAGACAGGGTTTCCTGTCTGTCTGGAGCTCAATAGACCAGGCTGGCCTCAAACTCACATAGATCCAATCATTTTAACTCTGCTGAAGTCATTCTAAATGAATAACAACAAGAACAACAAAATATTTTCCCTTTTATTGAAACAAGGTCTCATGCAGCCCAGGCTAACGTGGAACTTTCTATGTATCTGGGAATAATCTTGAACTTTTTTACCCCTAGAATTAAATGTATTCATTGTATTTTCCACGTGAGTGTTCTGCCTGCATGTGTGCTTATGTACCATATATGTGCCTGATGCTCTCAGAGGTCAGAAGAAGGCATTAGAACCCCCTGGCACTGCACTTATGAATGACTGTGATCCACCATGCGGGTACTGGGAATCAAACCCAGGTTCTCTGTAAGAAAAGCAAGTGCTCTCAACTGCAGCGCCATCCCAGCTGCCCCTCCATCCTGAACTCTTGCCCTTGCTGTCTTTGTCTTCTAAGTGCTGGGATGACAAGGGGTTGAAAAACCTCATCCAGTTTTTCAACTGTTTGGAGCTTGTCCCCAGGGCCTCATGCATTCTAGACGAGCACTCTTTCATTCTCAGCTCCAGAGTGTTTTTGCCTGTCACTTTAACTAAGTGATTCTTCCTGGAAAGATAACCTTTAAAACAGTAGTGCATACTTAGGACTCTGTCCTAAGGAAATAATACATAGTTGGTCAAGTGAACAAAGAGGCAGTTCCCTGCAGGTGCAGGGGATATAGCTGTAGATGTAACTTTTATCCTTCTATAGTATATGTCTCCAAGGCTTACTGCCTGTCTGCTAATGTAGTCTTAATCCTGGAAGCTGCTAGCCTCCTTACCATCTAATCAAGGCCTAGAATGTTTTCAGCCTCTGAGACTTACTGCTGAATAAGCTCACCCTTTCTTGTTCTTACTGATCTCAAGCTGACTGATTCAAACTGGCTTCTCTCAAGCTTCTGACTGAATTATTCTGCTTGGTCTCATACTAACTTTGGCAATCTGTTCTAATCTTCTGGCTCCTTCTCATTCTCTGTCTTGTTCTGTCTTGACCTGTGTCTAGCTTGTCCTCTCCTGAACCTGTCTCTGTACAACTATCGCAGTAAACCTGCCTCCTGTCTCTCTCCCTCTGCGCTGCTCCCTCGTAGGCTGCCTCTCTCTCCTCTCTGTTCTTTTGAGAGTTGGACAGATCCTGTTCTGTCAAATCTTTCTCTGATTCATCACTTTGTCTCAGAACTAGACATCACATTCAAACAAGGGGGCTTCCTTCTACAAATCTACTTTACTTTCATTGTTTGGGATTAATGTTGTGTACTAAAAGCATGTCTCCATTCTGGCTGGATCACAGAGACTTAAAAGGTCTTTGGATGTTGCTAGATTAAAATTTCTCTACATATAGCTTTGTGACAGAGTGCTAGTCTAGCATGCATGAGGCCCTGGGTTCAACCCCAGCATTGAAGAAAAGGTAAATGAAAACTAAAAACATAAAAATGACAATCATGTCTCAGCAATGTGGGACTGGTTACCTACCCACTCATCTAATAGAAGCTCATGCTGAGCGCTCACTGTGGACAGGGCAGTGTACTGGGCATTGAAGGCCCATCAGTACCTAAGGAGAGCTGCTATTCCCGTGGAACGCTCAGTGTGGGCTGGATAATACCCACAGGAATACTCAGCTTCCACCAGGAAACTGAGTTAAGCCGCAACAAGGAGCACAGGTTCCTAGGAGAGGATTTGTTTCAAGGTCAGAAAGAAAGTCCCCGTGGCTGCAGGAGGGGGCGATGGGAGATGAGGAATGCAGGATTCAGGATTAGGGAGGAACAGGCAAGTGAAGGGCCCGAGAAAGGGCAGGACTTGGGCAATGTGTGCTATCAAATTCCTTAGGTCAGTCAGTATGTAGATTTGAAGAAATGTGCTTCTGGCCACATGGAAGTAAAGTGCTTCCATGTGCCTTTACTTCTGAGGCTGCTCCCTCCCGTACCCCTCACCTCTGCCTCCACCAACACACTGCTGCCCACCCCTAGTTAGGTTTGGTATTCTGTGACCACAGATGGCTGTGAACTGCCCAGTGTGGGTGGATGCTGAGAAACAAACCCTGGTCGTCTGCAGGAGCAGCAAGCATTCCTAGTGACTGACAAAGCTCTCCAAGCTCTCCTGCTCCCGTCTTACATGCCCGTGTCTTCAAGACGCCCATCTCACTTTGAACGACGTGTGTACATGTGTGTGTGCACAGGTGAATTATTTCTCCTTCCACAGAAGCACATCCGTAAGCCCACCACTTACAATACTTCCGACCGTCTCCCTGTGCCTGGCATACAGAAGGTACTAGAGAAACACTTGTGAAGGACAGACCCTGTGCAGGCTCCACCCACTGAAGATCCAGGAGGAAGGAACCCAGGGTGCAGCAGCTCTCTAGGGTGAACTGTGAGAGAAAAGGATCTTGGCTGTAGAAAGCAAGGCTTTTTTTTTTTTTTTTTGACTTTTTTCTCAGTACTTACCCGCACAAAAGACTGCTTCTCTCCACAAGCTTTGCACGTCCATTTGAGACTCTTCTTCACCTACAATGGAGTATTGGAAATTATAGTTCAAACAACTTCGGATGACAACAAGTAGCTCTGAATCAGAAATAACTTAGCTATACTCCCAGTCCTGAAGGGAGCATTTTAGGTGAGGAAGAAATGTACTATTTAATAGTTGGGTGCTGGGAAGACTGGTCATTTGTATGAAACAACATCCAGTTGGATTTTTGCCATTCCAGGAAAAAAAAAAAAAGGAATTTGCCATTCCAGAAAAGGAAGGAGAGAGCGGGTGGGGGTGGGGTGGGGGAGACAGAGGGGCTAGAGATATTTCAGTGGGTAAAAGTTTACTTGCTGAGCAAGCATGAGGGCCCAAGGTCAGATCTCAGTAGCCACGTGAACCTGTGTTCACAGGACTGTTGGAGGTGGAAATGGGATCAGTGGGGACTGCTGGCTGCCAGCCTAGCTCCAGGTTCAGTGACAGACCCTGTTCCAGAGAAATAAGGTGCAATGAATGACAGAGCAAACTAATGTTCCCTTCCGGCCTCCGTGTGCTCATCTGCATACAAGCATGCTTATAACGGACTGACAGACACACAGACACATACGGGCCAGTGGGGGGGGGGCAAGATTCCAGAGCTGACCATGTCTCTGTGGCAGCTAGTATATTCGGGATATGGTTCAGTGGTTAAGAGATTTGGCTGCTTTTCTAAAGGATCTAAGTTCTGTTCCTAGTACTGATGTGGCAGCTCACAACTGTCTGTAACTCTAACTCCAGGAAATCTAAGACCCTCCTCTGGCTTCTGTGGGTATCAGGTTGCATGGGGTACAGACACACATGGGGGCAAACATTCATCCACATAAAATAAAAATACATTTTTTATATAAAGATGCAAACGTTCCTTGAAGGAATGTCACGAAAGATTATGCTTAACTATACAGAGATCTGGGTTGATGCACAGAGCTGCTGTGACCGACATGGCTGTGACCGACATGCTGTGACCGACATGACATGGGGTCATAGACTCAGGAAGCTGAGGGGGGGGATTAGGAATTATTAGAGGTCAATCTAAGGTAAATACTGAAATTATGTCTTGGAAACACCCTCAAGACCAAACCAAATCCCACCCCCTAAAACAACAATAAAACCACTACCACCATGACTATGATTGGGGTTGGGGGATACAGCTTAGAAGTTGCCTAATAAGGCTGAGGTTAGAGCCTGGAGCCAGCTTGAGATATGAAACAAAGCCTCTCATACACCAACCACTGTCCCGTTAACTATTTTTGGGTTGTGCTGGCTCTAATGAGCGTGGGGGCAGGGGGATTACTATTACCACGCAGATAAGCAGATAAAGCTGCAGGTAGAGGCACCAAGTGATATCCGGGCTGACCCAGGGAAATGTTAAAAAGGAGTCCAAACTGCTTATACATTATTTAGTTTTGTTTGTTTTGAGACAGGGTCTTTAGTATCCCTGGTGCGCCTCAAACCCGCTAAGCCCTTCTATCCTCATTCATTGCCATGCCTAGGCTATTTTTTGGCTGTGTGAATGTTAGGCAAACACTCCAACCCTAGGACTTTAAAAGCTCTCCATTCACTGTAATAAAACTGAGAAGAGACACTTGAGTGTAATGATGAGCTAGGTTCTGCATAGAGGACGCTACTCTTCAACCTTGGTTCCTGACCACTCTGCTAGAATCCAATGGAAGCCGCCTCAGAAGAAACAACTACTGTGTATTCTACAACGACCACGCAAAAAACCGATACACACCGGGCTGGGTGGTAGCTCGGTGGAAGAGCGCATCCACAACCCTGAGCAGAACCCTCAGCAGCAACAACAGATAAATAAAAACAAAATGGCCAGAGGCTTGTCGTGAAGTGACAGTAATGAAGCACAGCCTTCAGCCTCGTCACTGTCATTTCCCATGGCCATACGAGACGCGGCCCGCCATATCTCGCCCACCATCCTGCTAAGAAAGAGGGTGAGGCAGACGCCCACCCCACCTGATGCGCCTGAAAGATGTGGCAGCTGCAGCACCGTAGAACCCGAGACTGCTGAGCCGGCGCCATTCAGGCCTCAGTCTCCCGCCGTGAGCTCGCGCTCTACGTTCCCGCCCAGGCTCCGCCCACCCCACGAAGGTTCCGGCCTCTCTAGGCCCAGCACCACCTCGCTTGCCCTGGTGCGTCTCTCAGCCTTCTCTGGCTGCGTCGACTCCGCCCTTGCAAGGTCTTGAGTCGCTCTAGCCCACTGTCTCGGTGGTCACTGCTCGCCCCTCCCGCCTCCTAACCCCGCCCCCTACTCCTGCCATGCATCCATCCACCCCTCCCCGAACAAAACCCAAAAAACAAAACAAAACAACAACAACCCGAACTAGTGTTCCCACGTGTTTGGGTTAAGTTACAAGAGTCTTGTCTCTACCACCTGAAACCTGAGATTAAAACATACCCTTAGGCCTGCCTCTGTTTTTCTTTTTTCCCTCTGTGTATCCCTGGCCATTCTGGAAATCCCTCTGTAGATCAGGCTGGCCTCAAACCCACAGAAATCTCCTAATTCTGGCCACCTGAGTGCTAAGAGTAAAGTCAAGCTCCACCACCACCTGGCTTAATTGGTATTTTAAAACCATAAATCTTACTAGATTGGTGTTGCAGTTTGATTTTACTGTGAACTCCAAGAGTGTATACTGGAAAAAGCTGTCTCTAGATGTGGTGTGGTCTTAGCCCTAGTTCACACCTTTAATCCAAGAGTGTTGCAGGATATTTGATCACATTATGAGACCATATACCGGAAAAATCTGTTCCTAGTTGTGGTGTGGCTCAGTCCTCACACACTCCTTTAATCCAAGAGCTGCTTATTGTAAACGAATTAAGTCAACCATAGGTAAAGAAGCCGAACAAGCAACCAGCTGATGGTGAGTGAACATAGGGAAAAAACATAGAGAGTAACAGGAAGTCAGGAGGACAGCTAGAGAGACACACAGGAAATAGTAAGGTGGGACATTGGAAAGGTTTTTAAGACAGTGAAATTTTTTTTTCCTTCTGGGATGTGGGTTGAAGGTTAGTTGGGTACTTTCTCTTCCTTTTCTGAGCTAGTGGGCTTTTAACACGGTGTCTGGCTCCTGAGTCTTCATTTGGTTAAATCAAACATTTCAGATTTTGTTTTAAAAACAACAGATTAGTGGTTGCCTGGCACTGGGAGTGGGAGCAAGATTTTACTATATATGGATCTAAGGGCTGACAGAGATGATCCAGGAGGAAAGAGGAATCTACTGTAAGTGGATCTAAGAAGTCTTCCTGGACTGTCAGAGATGATCCAGAATTGTATTTAGATGGTAACTCAGCAAGTTTACTAGAAATCACCGTTTTGTACCTTAAACAAAATAATTTTTAAAAAATTGTATTTAGTATGTGTGTGGTGGTGTGGGTAGAGGCCAGCATGTCCCGTTTTATCACTCTGCGTTATTCCTTGAGGCAGGGTCTCTCACTGAACTGGAAGCTGGCTATTTGGTTAGGTTGCCCATCTCTGATCACCAGCACTGGGGTACAGGTGAGCATGACCATGCCCAGCTTTTACATGGGTGCTGGGAATAAGCAAATTTTAAAGTATTTTTGTAAATAATACCTAATGTCATCTTATTTATTTTGGCTTTTTGAGACAGGATCTCAACATGTAGCCTAGGCTGGCCTCAAACAAGACAACTGTCATGCTTCACCCTCAAGGGCAGGATTATAGGTATGCCACTGCACTTAGCATTATCACATTTTTTTAAAGTCCCTGGATCCATTTGTTAGTAGAGCAAAAGCAGCTCTTGGGCAAATGGATGTTTATGATGCACCTCTGCTCCTGCTAAACAGTCAGGGCTAACTCATGGCTGAGTCCTGCTTTGCCCATGTGTGTCTGCTTCTTGAACCAAAGGGCTGACAACTTGGTATGGCTCAGGCCTGAGGACATATCCACTATACTGCACATACCTTTAGACACTGAGTCTAAGACCTGTGACCACAGTTACCATGTACCATGGAAAGTCTAGCAGTTCCCCCACCTACTATGGGCAACCAAGTGTCCTGAACTCCCACAGTGCTTTCTGGGCTACATACCTGATTTGGGAAGAAGTCAGACTGAGGCGATGGCTCAGAGCCACAGGAAAGCACTGCACACAGTGTGCTTTTTCTTTCTTTCAGGGATTTATTAAGGCATTGAGCACAGTGTGGTTTCTAGCCAACTAAAATGAGGGCAGGGGACTAGAGGAGGACCTGAGGGATGTGCTTTCAAAGTTAATGATGCAGAGGAATGGAGACCTCATAAGTTAGGAGTACAGTGCAAGGCTCTACCCATGCAACAGACATTCCCCTGCGCTCCTCAGTCCTAAGACTCAGGTTCAGGCTGAAGAACTTCAGAGGGTGTCTAGAAGGTTGCATCCTTTGGAGCCCAAGCACATGGCAAAGTGACGACTGGTGGCCTGGCCACATGGCTGTAGGTCTTTCCATAGATGGGCGACTGGTGTAGTGTGTGCACAGCACAGGGTGCAGGGTCAAGAAGCAGGCAGGGGCAGATCCAAAGCCTCTAATGCTATGGGATCAGGAGGCTCAAGGCAGATCCTCCAGGTAACCAAGTGCAGGGAGAAGAGGTTGCCCTGGCCTAGGGGATCCCTGTAAGGCAACTGGGTCTGCATCGACCTGACCTTCTTTGCTTCTGTGACACCCTGGTTCAAGAACAGGGGTGTCTAAGGAGAAAACAGAAAGGGATAAAGGAAGGAGATAGAGACCAACTTCCATTTTACAGCTCAGCCCAAGACCCCAGGGGGCTCATGGTCACTGGAGGTGCTGAACTGCCTTTCTACTTTCTTTTGGTCCTTGATCTTGAGTCCAATGTCTACCCTCTTCTCAAAGAAGTTCACTAGCACAGACTCTGTTAGGATGGAGGCCAGGATCTGCTCAAAGGAAATGCACCAATCCGTGTCCACAGTGCCTCCCGTCCGTGAGGTGGTGGTGGGGCTACAGGCTTCTCCTCCCACCAGCACTGTGTCTTCTGTGAGGTCCTCGCATTGCAGCGAGCCCGTGCTGACTACTGAGTAGGAGGACATGGACATGTCATCTTTGGTTTCATCATCAGACAAAAGCAGGGAAGGCGAGCCCTGCCCCTCGCCACTGCCCCCCTCCACTATCACATGACTGTCCTGCAATGCTTTCCCAAGATGCATGTCACCACGGGCTTTGGCCTGTGGATCTCCTGCAGCTGGTGGCTGACATTCCTGTGTTGGGTCCTGATGGAGTTTGGGTGTGGGTAGCTCATCCTCTTCTGTGGCACTGTTGTGATCCCCACTGTGGGTACCATCCCTGGGCTTCTTTGTTGACAGGGCTGAAAACTTCTTTCCCACCTCACCAATGCGGAGGAGAAGGCTGGCCACAGTGGCAATGGCATGGTACAAGTCCTGTTCCATAGGGTCTTCGCTAAACATGTTGTAAAGTGTTTTACACAGCTCAATGAATTGCTCCTTAGGGAGAAAGCAAAAAAGAAACACAGAGGTGGTTATAGGTGGGTAGGTACACTCTCCCATAGCCAAGGGAAGATGCAGTCCACTCTAAGTGGTGTTGGGATGTTGATGTCACAAACCCATGGCATATCATTTCCAGGCTAGGAAACTGAAGTTTGGGAAGGGGACTGTAAGGGCTTTGTCACATGATCCTTTGAAAGTCTTTCTTCCCAGTTGCTCTGTCTGTCTGTCTGTCTGTCTGTCTATCTACCTATCAACTTACCTACATATCTATCTATTTTTGGAAACAGGATCTCAGTATGTATGCCTGGCTGGCCTGGAACTCCAAATGTGGACCAGGCTGGCCTCTGAACCTACAGAAATCCACTTGCCTCTGCCTTCCAGTTATTGAAATAAAGATGGGTGCCATCATACCTAGTACACTTCTGCTTTTTATAAGAGGAGCAGGAAGAAAGAGTGTGAGTGAATGTGTGTGTGCATGCACGTGTGTGTTGTGTATGTGAGAGAGGGAGAGGAGTGAGAAAGGGAGAGGGAGAGGGAGAGAGGGTGAGAGGGAGGGGAGGAGAGAGAGAGAGAGAGAGAGAGAGAGAGAGAGAGAGAGAGAGAGAGAGAAAGGTGGAGGTCAAAGGACAACTTCTGGGAGTCAATCCTTGTCTTTGCAATTTGTTCTTGGAGTAGTCTCTTGCTTTTTTGACTAGCTAGCCCCATGATCTTCTAGGCATTTCCCATGAGAATACTGGGATTACAGATATGAGAAACTGCAGTCATTTTTGTCTTATTTAGTTATGTTTTTTGAGACAAGGTCTCTCATATATCCCTGGCTATCTTAACACTCACTTTGTAGACCAGGCTGGCCTGGAATTCACAGAGATCCTCCTGCCTCTGTCTCATGAGTGCTGGGATTAAAGGTGTGTGCCCCACAATTGGATTTAAAAACAAAACAAAACAAAACAAAACAGACTCAAGTGTTTGAATGCTTGGCCCACAGGGAGTGGCACTATTAGGAGGTGTGGCCTTGTTGGGGGAAGTGTATCACTATGGAGGTTGGTCTCTATGCTCAAGCCCTGCCCAGTGTGAAATTTCAGAGTCTCCTTCTTCATCCTTTGGATCAAGATGTAGATAGAACTCTTGGCTCCTCCAGTGCCATGTCTGCCTGGATGTTCCTATGATCCCCACCATGATAATAATGGACTGAACCTCTGAAACTATTAGTCAGTCCCAATTAAATGCTTTCTTTTATGAGAGATGCCTTGGTCATGGTGTCTTTTCACAGCAATGAAACCCTAACTATGACACATGGGTTCCAGGGATCATGCTCAGGTCATCTGGCTTGTGCAGCAAGCACCTTAACCTTAGCCATCTCCCTGACCCAGCTTTTTATAACAGTAACAGAAGTAACTGCCTGTTTCCATGGAGCTCCAGAGGGTGACGTCAAGATAAGCACACGCTGGGTCAACTGGGTGTAAGTTAGAGGGAGTCCAAGATAAAGTCCTGTTCCATGGGGCCATTCTTAATGCCTGTGTGGGAAAGTGCTTGGAATCCAGAGCCTTCTCTGGGCACGGCTAGGGTGAGGCCCAGTCTGAGAGTTGATTGGGTGTTTGTGAGAACATCATGACTACTTT